CACTTTACTTACGGTGCCTACTGTTCGCTTGACTCAATTATCTATCTCTTCAATCTATCTACATCTATGCAATCTATCTTCCGATCGCGCTGGTTTTTCTCGCCAGGCTTATATATTAAAAAGAGGGCGTCTCGAATGCACTCGGGCCTTCATGATCTTTCTAAAAACTCCAGCGCGCATGCTCCCAGGGTCGCGTGACTTCCGCTGTCGTAACAATATTGTACACAAAGATATGTCTCCATTGGCACATGCACCATTAATATATCGCATGCTTTAGAGCCATTCATATTAACAAGAGGTGGGTCATACCTATAGGTAATCACAGTGTTCACAGCTGGAACAGAGAACTGTTTCTATTCATAGCATCTTTCATGCTACAGTGATCTTCTCTAAAAGAAATATGTGACGGACTTGATGACTCGTGAAGCCTTGTGAATAACCAAGACAAGAGAAACATAGTAGTTATCTGGACCGATGTTCTGTATTACGAATGAACCCAGAAACAGAACATCTAAAAAATTATCTGGCAGTTAAATAGTAGAAAACGCATTTAAGACATTTTGGTTTTGGAAAGAACAATTTCGACATATGAGGATGAAATAGTTACTTTTGGAGAAAGGAAGAAGTAAAGGTTTTGAGACGGCTTGACTGGGCAATAAAAATTTTTTTACTATAAATGTACGATGTTTTGACAATATTTCATCATGCTCAGATACAAGTAATTTACAGAGATATATGAGTATATATATGCAGTATAGAACAGAGATCACATGACTGGATATTGCTTCACAATCTAATATAGTTCTCTTGGTACCCCTAAGTGTTGATTCAGGGTGGGGCTGTTTGTCTTCAATTAAGACAGCTTTTTTATTTTGTGTTTATTGATGTTAGGTTCTTTGTTTAAAATTAGTATTTTGTACAGATATATTGTGGTTTTTTGAGTTGCAATGGTGCGGCTCACATACATTCGTGTTAACGTATCCAATAATATATAATTGACTTTTAGTCTTTAAAAAGTAACCCGTCTTGGCTGTGTTTTAGTGGACTAGTATTTTGTAAAATACAGTCACATTTCAATTATTATACATTATTTTTATTTACAAGTAAGTTCTTAAACTTATTTTTCTTAAGCTAGAATAGAAAATAAGAACCTCTTGTCCTTTTTATTTGCTAAGATATCGCTCCTATACTGAATCAAACACAGTGCCCCTAGCCACCTCTTTCCGTTTTAGAAAACGGTCCCTTATATACACTTCTATGTATGACATGAACAACCAATCAAAAGCTTAGAATGATCCCCTAGTGGTTTTCTCAGCCATTTTGATGTGTTATTGTGCTTATTTCGTTCTTTTCAAACAAGATTATATATGAAGAGGTAAGTCCTTATTGAGTTCAAAATTTCACATTTTTTAGACCCAAATACAGCTTACTATGCTTGATAAATTATAGTGGAATTCTGTGGTAGTAATACCGTAATTTATGATTTTATGGTTATTCAACTGTGTATGTTAAACTTTAAAAAAAGTATTTCATCCACATCTTCCACATGGGAAATTTCATAAGGCTTAGCAACCCACAACAAGTTGCAAACGAGTACAAAGGTCGTAACTAGAAGAGATAATTGTTTGTTTTACTTCTTTATGTTTCTATGTTTTAGGAAAAATAACTTTTAGGAACTTATTTCAAAATAGCAATAATATATATATATATAATGTATAATAATTAAAATGTGACTATTTTACAAAATAATAGTCGACTAAAACACAGCGAAGACAAGTTACTTTGTACAGACTAAAGGTTATCTTTATGTTATTTGATACGGTAACATGAGTGCACATGAGCCACGTTGTTGTAACTTCTGTATTGTTAGCCAGGCACTGGTGAAAGGCCAGTATAAAAGAAATATATATATAAATTTAAGCTATTTCGCCTAAACATACACGTTTTCGTGTTATAATTTGTTTTCATTCTAGAATGAAAGATGCATACTTTGTTCATTTCTAATTTTTTATGGTGGTTGTAAGATCGGTCAAATTTACAGAACCCGTACAGACATTAATTACTGAAAATAATAGATAAAATATAAACATTTTTCTTCAGAAACGTGTGATAACTATTTGTATATTATAATGATTTTACATGTGAAATTTTCTGATGCATAAAAATATTTTTAATGTTAAGATGAAAATTACTTTGCATGATAGACAGGCAAGAATGTGAAAAGAAAAAAAAGGCATGAGAAAAACATTGCTTTACAAATCTTAAGACTTAATAAAAAAATTAGATATTTTGCCTTTGAAAGCATTGTAATGTTTACTGATAAACTGCCAAATTTTTCGTTAAATTCACTTGCTAATTTAATTGCTATAGCATGAAAACTATAACAAGCTCAAAATGGTTATGAGGTCAGTCCCAAGGACCAAGCCTGGGTTGAAAGAGTTAAAAAAAAGTTGAAGATTTTCAATTATGCATTTTAAACCATAACTAATACATAATTACCTAAAATAAAATAGTAAGACCTAAATAAAATTTAAACTGTAACTCCAACTATAACATATTTAGGTAAGAAACAACCATAAGTTCTGTAGTTGATCAAGCAGCCTACTATACTAGAGTCAATAACATGTAATCCATAATGACAGTTGCGTGCCAATTTCAAAATAACCATTGTTAGATTATAGTGTAAAATGATCTCTTTCTAATGAATATACATGTGTATGTAGCATATACATGTAGGCTATATAACTCAAGCAGATCTGTTGAAGGTGGGCATGGCACTTGTGAGGGGTTGAAAAAAATGTATTACTTGTTTCAACTGTAGTCATTCAGTGAACGTTGAAATGAACGAGTCAAAAGGTTATGTAAGCAATTTATTGTCTAAACATACCACTACTCGACTACCATTATATTATTGAAGATACAGAGAGCCAAAGTAAAAATGTTTCATAGCTCCATCGTTACGTCACAATACATCTGAAGTTTTAAGTAGTTTTTAAATGTTTATTTTCAAGTATAGGACTTACAACTTGGATAAAAAAAGCTTTGAATTATAACATATATTAATTTCATTCACATACATTGGTCATTAAGGTGTTTAATTAAATTTTGAATGTAACACAGTGAGTTGTGCAGAAAAGCATTTAACCCTCTCGCTATGGGTCTTTCTGTGGTCAGGGGTCAAAGAGCAAGTCATCATGTTTGTAGACTTACATTTCAAAATTTTATTGAACTACTATTTTTGAATGTATGCCAATAAGTTTAGTATCACATTGTAGATTATAATTCAAATTTTTTATTATACATTAGTTACTGTCTTAATTTAGAAGTAAATGTTAAAGAAAAATCCCTAAATATTGATTTTTGTGTGTCACGTGGTATGTTGAATGCAGTTTTGGTTCAAATTAGATGTTTGGGATGTTCAAATACAAAGTGTATAGTTTCTTATGAATTAGAAACTCAAATTACTGATATTGACAAGCTAGAAATAAGAACCTCCTATCATTTCTATTTGCTGAGGTATCACTATATTTAGTGAATTAAACACAGTGGTCCTGCCCACATCTTCCATTTTTGAAATATGTACTTCCTTACATACACCCGCTTCTCTCCTATATGGCTTTATAACCAATCAAAAGCTCAGAATTTCCCCCACATAGTTTTCTGGCTCTTGAAGGTGGAAAGATTTTTTTTTTATCTAGAATCTGGGAAAGAATGGGTAAGTGAAAATTTTTTGCAAATGTATTATTTTAAATCCAAATACAGCTTAATTACTAAGCCTGATAAAATATAGTGGATTTCTGTGATATTGATATAGTAATTTATGAATATTTTTATTTCAAAATACTTGAATAAAACCTAAAAAAATTTGTTACAACTTCAATGTGCAAAATTTGACAAGGTTTAGCAAATTATGGCAAGTGGCAAAAGAGTACAAAGTTTGTAATTAGAAGAGATCATTGTTTTCTATACTTCTGTGCTTGCTGTTCTATGTTTTAAGAAAACGGAAATTTTAGGAATTTATGTCTAAATAGTAATAATAATAATAATATATATATACATGTAATGTATTATAACCAAAGTGTTATTGTATTTTACAAAATACCGGTCCATTAGAACAAAGTCAAGACAGGTCATTTTGTAAAGGCCAGTTTTATACTATAGGATATAGTAACATGAGCACACGTGCCTCATTATTGCAACTTCTATAATGTTAATCAAATACAGCTGAAAGGTCAATAAAATAAAAATTTGTATGATTTTATGAGGTTTAAGGAATTCAGACTAAACATTTGTGATGTCTTATTATAATATGTTGTCATTCTAGAACAAAAAAAGCATAATTTATATCTATTTCGTAATTCTTTCAGGTGGTTACAAGGTTGGTCAAATTGACCAAACCCATACAGAGATACAAGAGTGAAAATAGCTGATAAAATATAGTTTTTTTTCAAAACAAAAATGTTTGATAATTATTAGGAGGTTATAAAAATTTTGCATATGAAATTTTAAAATTTTCTAATGCATAAAAGTATTTTTAATCTTAAAATCAAAATTACTTTGCATGTTGGACAGTCAACATTCAAAAAGAAAAAATTCAAAATTTTGTGAAGGATATGCATACTTTATTAAAAGTTATAGTATGGGAACTATAACACAAAGTGGATAAAGGATTCAGTCCATTTGACCAACTCTGTAACTACTACAAAAAAAAAACAATTAAATGATCCTTTTTGTTTGTAGAAAGATTTCATATTGTTACATACTATTTAATCTTACAGCCAAAGCAAATAGACTTTTCAAATCTGGACTCAGTTTTATTGCACTTGGACCAATCAATGTACACTGAAAGCCATTTATCACAGTGTTATATTAAAATGCATGGCATGCTTTTATTACAACTACACTTTGCATATAAGCACATGCTATAGTAAAAAAATCATATAATTTATTCATTAAAGTTTTCTTGTATAACCTTATAATTTTTTGATTTTTTTACACTTTATTTACCTTCATAACAATAAATAAAAAATGCATAAGAAAACAAAGTTACTTGGATTTGGAGTTGAAGCCTTTTGACAAAATATCATCATCCACAAAAAGTAGATTGTCCTAAAAGTACTATAATTTATCTATGGTGTAAGTATGTAATTTGTGTCAAACTATGAAGATCATATAAGAGTGAAAAAATCTAAAATGGGTAATTTGGAGGAAATACGTGTCATGTGATACAGAGAAGTGAAGATTGAGAATTTTTAAATATTTCATTTTGAAATTAAGAAATTAAAACTTGCATAATAATAAATTTGAACTATAAACTGTGTTTTGATGCCAAGTTTATTGACATAATACATTAATGATAAAGTTGTTTAATTAAATTTTGAATACAATTCTGTAAAAAGGTTGTGACATGCACTATTTGATCCTCCACTGTACACAGGGAAAAAGGATGATGTTGCAAAGATGGATTGTTACCAGACTTGGATGAACACTTTCACAAATGTAGACAAATGTGACAGATTATTCTGTATTTCTAATTAAAGACCACTGTCTGTTGATTAAAACAATTTCTGAAATAATTACAAAAAATGTATTTATTAATAAATCTCGTATATCGGCTAACATGGTGATAGAGGCATGTATGAGTCTATGGATAAGTAAAATTGTATGCTGTGTGTGCATTATGTAATATATATTTAGAGCAAAGCTTTGTGTTATCTGCCTACCACTCAGATGAGATGTGTGCGATGTGAATGTTCATAGTTTGGTTATCTTCCATCATACTTCATTATTTTTTACTTGCATATTTCATATTTTAACTTCAAGGGAACTAAATCCTACTTAGATGATGGGATTGAAACATGCACAAACTACTATAACACAGCATTCTCTGCAGCAGTTAGTTTCTTACTTCATACAGAACTTGCATATCAGTTTTTGTTTCTCTATATCTGTTGTGTTAAAAGTTCAATGTGAGAGTAAATTTCTATCAACATGTCAGTTAGCACATTCAGGAATACTGGTATCTGTTTATTGTTTTCTGGGCCAGTTTAAGACTTTAATGATGCTTATCCTTTCTGTTTTTTTCCATTAAAAAGGGCTGGAGTTGGTAATTTTATTATTACTTAAACATTTGTTTGAAATAGTTCATTAGTATGTAATTCTGTAGAAACTTAAATGCTAATTTCATATTCATGTTCCTGAATATGAAACTAACAGTTTATACATGCTTTGTACTTGCAGTGTATTACAAAGTTAAAAATTGTTAATTTCATTTCAGATTATTCAAGATGTTCTAGACTCTAGAGCCTGCCAAAGATTGGGATAGTCCTAACTCAGTTAGGTCAACATGGTGGCCAGGATTACAGTATTAACAACAAGGATATGGAGGACTTGGTACGTATTAATTATTTAAGCATTGAGTTCGATATTTTGTTATTCTTTTTTTACCTTTGTGTTACTCCTCAGCAATTTACAAGGTGAAAGAGTGTCAAAAGAGGCATAAAACAATTATTCTGGCATTTTGTGAGGTTATTTGTTAACCTTCATTTGTTTGCTTGAAAGTACATTACCCTCCCCCTACGTACATCATCACATTTTACATTTTTTCATAATGTCATTTGAGTAAATCGGATGTATTAGATGCACTTGAAAGTAAACTGGATATCTAAAAACTTTCAATTAACTACTCGAATATGACTACTGAACTGTTAGTTATTTAACTTATTTTAACGCAAGTAATAATCACAGTTTAGGGCTATTAATATTACTATTATTAATATCTAATTTCAAATACTGGAAATTATATAGGGACCACAAGGAATTATACAGATCCCTAATAGAATGTTCGGGCAAAAAGCACCTTAAACAGTAAAGATTTAGTTCAAACAACACTTTAAAATATTTGCTATTGACTGCTAAGGCTGTACACATATAATGCACAAAAAAATTACTTGTGTTAGACTTACAAGAAAAGGAAATCTGCTCAAAGTGGCCCATTTGTAATATTTCTTATTATTATACTCTTGTCAGTCTACAACAAAAACAGCTAGGTATATTGTACCCAATCCTTTTGTAGAAAACTAAATAAGGAACTGCAAAGGTTGTAGGGGTATTGAAAAGTCGATTTGTTTCTTCTGTTATTTTACATAAGCTAAAAAACATCTTAATTGTAGTGTAAATGATATCATTATCCCTTGAAGTTAGATTTTTTACAAATATGTGTTGTTCCATTAAAAACTTAAGTACAGGGTGTAACAGAAAATTACCAGCCAATAGTAGATGAACATTAGGTGACTTTAAAATGTAGATACTCAATGCTTTGTACACTATACAACCAGTGTCTTCAGGGAGCCAACAGCTATATTGTGTAAGAAAATAAAGGAGTTAAAAAATATCAATACACATAGTATTAAATTTTTATTACACATGTTTGTAGAATAATTACTTTAAAAGACATGAAGGTTTATTTAGATGATGTTTTAGACATGTATATTTTATTTGAAAAGGCTGCTTTTCTACTGGTAAAATTTTACACACACTTAGGGGCGTGGTGTCTTAATCTAGGCATTTGTTTGTCCATTCCTATGCATAAATATAGAGATTTTAGTTACACAGAAACTATAAATGCTCACTATATTCTCAAACAAATATCCACGACAATCTCCATCTACAGCTTAAAATTTACATCTCAAACTAATGCAATCAAATAGTCAATAGCTACAGTAAGCCCCCCAGTGGCACAGCGGTATGTCTGCGGAATTATAACGCTAGAATCTGGGTATTGATACCCGTGGTGGGCAGAGCACAGATAGCCCATTGTGTAGCTTTGTGCTTAATTACAAACAAGCTACAGTAAATTATTGTGAACTGTATCAGCTAGCTACTAGCTGTGTTTATTACACACAGGCCTGCAAATTTAAACTTCATAAAAGTTGTTTTGGTTTTAATAACGGATTTTCCATAGTTTAGCTACTCAGATTTTGAAAATATTTATTACATTTTTTTACAAATCAAAAGAAAAGAAAACTTATTTAGATCAAATTATTATTTCATTTACCACAATGAACATTTTTTATTATTATGTTTGTTTACAAAAATACTAACAAACTGAAGAAAAGGTTAGAACATTGTTGTCAAATGAATATGCATCCTTATTCATCCTGATTTTTTTGTGAAATCTATATCTTAGTCTCAAAACTACGTGTTGTGGTCTTTCTTTTATTGGTGAACAAAGCTACTTGGAGTAACTACTGGGGCCTCTGGGTGTTGTTTTACAAAACTCCAAATGTAATAATTTGGTGGGTTGGGTAAAGTTAGTTATTAGTAAAGCTGAGCCTTGAAAGTAACTATATCAATGGTGAAATGTGATTTGTAGGGCAGATTATAAACTGTTTGTCAAAGTGAGGAATATGATACGAAGAGTAATTTATGGTTTCTGGAGGTGTTGACCACCTGGAGCTTCTTAATATGTGAAAAAAGAAATCTAATGGGAAGTCAAACAATCCAAAGACTTGGAAATTTTAGTTTCTTCAGGCTTTAGTCCATTCCTAAGCATTTTTCTTGTTAAATTTTATGTGTTTAACAGTTACAAAAATTTTGTATGACGAGACATCAGATAATCTTTGTTTAGTGGTTACAGTAGAAACTAGTATATTCTGATGACTCAAAATAATATTTATTGACTACTATTTATAATTGTATTGCATTCAAGCAGTGAATGTATGTAAAATAACTTGTTTTTTAAAATGTATTTAATGGGTATAAATTGATCATGAACAAGAATGTTAGCAAAAATTATGATACCTAGTCTGACAACAGTAGTAAACACCATTTTGAAAGGTGAAGTCTGAGGTCATTGATAAATCTTTGCTAGTAGTAACTACTGTAGTTGGCAAAATATCAAAAAAGTTGTTAATGAATATTAATTCATTTGAAACTGTATATATATAAAAATAAGACTTTCTGATTAACAATAAAAAATGTAATTGTCAAATGAAAGCAAAGTTCTTACACGTCTCAAAACAATGTCTCAAAATATTGGTTTTGAACTTTCACATTCTAAAAATTATAGAAACACTAAATTGTTTAAATTTTTTTAAAGCCAAAACTAAAGGAGTTCCAACA